AGCATCCAAATAAGAAACGAAGAAGTCGAACTGTCACTATTTGTGGATGACATGATTTTCTATATAGAAAACCCTAAAGGTTCTACAAGAACACTACTAGAAACAATAAGCAAATACAGTAAAGTCTCTGGATGCAAAATCAATGTTCAAAAATCCATAACGTTCCTAAACTCTAATAACAAAGTGTCAGAAAAAGAAGTGGAAGAAATAATTACTTATGCAATTGCAACAAAAAGAATAAAATACCTGGCCTTAACGAAACATGTGAAGAACCTATATAATGAAAACTACAAGACCCTATTAAAAGAAATCGAAGAAGATATAAAGATATAAAAAGATATTCTGTGTTCTTGGATTCGAAGAATCAACATAGTTAAAATGACCTTATTACCTAAAGCATTATATAGATTTAATACAATCCCCATCAAAATCCCATCAGCTTTTTCAAAGAAATAGAACAAAAAATCATCAGATTTGTATGGAAGCACAAAAGATCCCGAATTGCCAAAGCCATCCTCAGAAAACAGAATGAGGCTGGAGGCATCACTCTGCCTGACTTCGAATTATACCACAAAGCGACAGTAATCAAAACAGCATGTATTGGCATAAAAATAAACCACACTGACCAGTGGAACAGACTCGAGACTCCAGAAGTAAACCCATATTTATATACGCAAATAATTTTAGACAAAATGCCAAAAACATACAGTGGAGAAAAGAAAGACTCATCAATAAATAGTGCTGGGAAAACTGGAAAGCCACCTGCAAAAGAATGAAACTATAGTGCTGCCTATCACCACACACCAGAATTATCTCAAAATGGATTAAGGACCTGAATGTAAGTCCTGAAACAATAAAATACATAGAAGAAAACATAGGAACTAAACTAAAGGACCTCGGGCTTAAAGAGAATTTTATTAATTTGACCTCAAAGGCAAGGGAAGTAAAAGCAAAAATAAATGAATGGGACTACATCAAACTAAAAAGTTTCTGCTCAGCAAAAGAAATCTTCAACAAAGTAAAGAGACAACTATCCGAATGGGAAAATATATTTGCAAGCAATATATTTGCAAGCAATAAGGGCTTAATATCCGAAATATACAAAGAACTCATATGACTCAATAACAACAAACAACAAATGATCCAATCAAAAAATGGGCAGAGGACCTGAACAGACACTTTTCCCTAGAGGACATACAAATGGCTAACAAATATTTGAAAACATGCTCAGCATCACTAGTTATTAGGGAAATGCAAATCAAAACCACAATGAGATACCACTTCATACCTGTTAGAATATCTTTAATCAACAGGATAAGTAATAACAAATGCTGGAGAGGATGCGGAGAAAAAGGAACCCTCATACACTGCTGGTGGGACTGCAAATTGGTATAGCCACTATGCAAAACAGTATGGAGGTTCCACAAAAAACTAAGAATTGATCTACCATGTGATCCACCAATCCCTCTACTGGGTATTTATCCCAAAGACTTGAAAATATACAAAAAGATATTTGCACACCAATATTCATAGCAGCGTTATTCATACTGGCCAGGACGTGGAAGCCCCCCAAGTGTCATAAGATAGACAACTGGCTAAAGAAGCTGTGGTACATATATACAATGGAATATTACTCAGCCGTAAGAAGAGATGAAATACTGCCATTTGCAACAACATGGATGGAACTTGAGATAATCATGCGAAGCAAAATAAGCCAGACAGAAAAAGTTGAAGATTGCATGATATCATTTATATGTGGGATATAAACCTAAAAGCAACAAAGGAACAGGATAAACAGAGACTCACGGACATCGATAATGGACTAGTGGTTATCAGAGGGTAGAGGGGAGGGGATACGGGGTATGTAGACCGCGGGAAAAAATTTAAATCATTTTTTCAATTAAAAAATAAGTAAATATATAAATAATTAATGTGTCTGTATTCCAGATGCTCACAGTCTAATGCGAAAGACTGGTATATAAGCAATGCCACTACAATGTGCTGAATTCATCTCAATTCACCTAGGGTAACCAGGAAAAGCTTAGTTGAGGAAGAAGGTAATGTTTTAACTAACACTTGAAGAGTAGGAACCATCAGGTGAATGAGGGGGCGTGGTGAGAGAGAAGAAAGGAGATACTTCAGCAGAAGTCCAGCAAGTAAAGGCTCAAGAGTATAGAAGATCAATGAAAGCACGTAATTTAGTATGACTAGTATAGGGAGGAGCTGAGACTGAGATGAGACTGGAAGCAGACCAGAGACAGGCTATAGAAGCCCATTTATGCTTTGCAAAATAGATGAAAAGGTTTCCAAATTTTCATGTTTCAGATTTTCATTTTCGTCTCCGGCAATACTACAAAGGACAGGTTCAAGAACGGCCAGTTAGGCAATCATTGCTATAGATTTGTGAGGGTGATAATGTGAACCGTGGGAAGGGAGTTAGAATCTGATTCCTTTTTAAAAATATTTTGAGATATTATTCACAAACATAAAACCATTTAACCATTTTAAAGCATATAATTCATTGCTGATTCCTTTTTAAAATAATTTATCTCCTGCTAGGCCCTTCTGCTTCTAGTTCAGTGAGAGAATAAATGAATAAATATAACTTAACTAGGAGAAATACTAGTTTTTTAAAGTCTTCACTTTTTTTATTAACAAAGAATTAAGCGATCATTGTAGAAATTCAGACAATACCAGTACTTAAGGTACAAAGTGTTTCCCTAATGAATAATCCCAACTATTCAAAGATAACCACTGTTAATTGATTGCTGCATATCCTTGTTTCACTATACCTATACACGCATTTACATAAAGCGTTTTTTAATATAAAAGGTGTCTGGAATAAAAAAGTACATATTGCTCTACATCTTGTTTTCCACATAACGTTGGCTTGGAATCCTCCTAAAAAGGCACGTTAATTTCTAGTTCCACTGTATGAGCCTGCTCGCTTCGCCATACCTTTAAAAATTGTATATTTTTTTATTTTACTTTTTACCATAACTGGTTTTAATTTGCTAGCTTGTTTTTCTTCTTATGGAATAGTTCGAATCTTCAGAAACAGAGAAGATGAGTTCTTTTTAAATTCACTTATTTTAAAAGTGGGTTTTTAGGTACTGTGTACTAGAGGAAACAGACATAGCATAAGACTGACTGACCTAAGATTTAGTCCTTGTTCAGTAACAGTTAACTGTGTAAGCTTAGGACCCGATTTTCCTCACCCATAAAACTAGAGAGCATAAATAATTACTAGTAATCCTTAAAGCTCTAAGAACATATGGCTTTAAGTCACAAATGGTTTCAAAACAAAATGGTAAAATTCCTGTTTGGATTGCTTAATGGTGAGTAAACAATACTGCATCTCCTCCACTTGCCAAAGCCATTAAACCCCACAAGGAGGGATCTTAGTTTTGTTCACTTATGAAAGCAAGCTCCTAGAACAGTGTCTAGCATGCTTGATATTTGGTAAATGATTGACAATGGTTAGATTTCCCTTCCGTAAATTGTTTCGAATCAATTATTTGGCAGCGTAATAAACCTGGTATAGTTTCGCTCTTCAGTTTAATTCTCACGTTTGTGAAGTGAAAATGCTATAAAATGCTTTTATATGTCTATAATGGAATTACATCTACTGACAGCAGACTCAGATATTCTACCCGCTGAACCTTAAGTCGTACTTCCCCCACCCATCTGATGGGGCCCATACTCGTGTCGAAACTTGTAGCTATGTATACGCACAGGCCTACAGAAGCCAGAATGTCACCTATCCCTACCCCCACTCCTAGACTCTATATCTCCGGAAGACAAGAAGTTAGTTTCTTTTCTCGCAAACGCCAGAACTCCAAAAACGGCAGAACTGGAGCCACCAAAGACGCAGAACCGGAGAACAACGGGGGTCGGGAAGGTGAAAACAGACCCTCTCAAGCCCGACTTTTTGAGAAAAGCCCGTGTTTCTGGAAACAGCGTCCTCACCTCCTTCTTTCTTTGGGCAGAGGCGGAGGGAACCCCATAAACGAGCAGCAGCGCCACCGCCATGGTTGCAGAGATACACCAAAACCACCAACGCGCTGCCATGTTCTCTCCTCTCCCTCCCAGAAATGAAACTTTCCTGGGGCTGGGACTGAGGGTTGGGCGTGAGAACAAGCACACCAGCCCCTTGGCCCTCCTCATTGGTCTAACTCAGCCCTACCAGGCGAACCCTCCCACATTACGTCACGGCGTTCTACTGCGAGACGCCCGCTAAAAGATGGTTAACTTTTAATTGGTCTCGGTTACCCAATAGAAAAAGGATAATCTGGAGGTTTTTCATTGGTTCGCTAAGAATGATGGCTCGCCGCTTTCATTTACGTTAAGTTGTCGCGCTTCGTGGCTCTTCAAACGCGCTTGCGCAGTTGTGAAGCTTGGCGGCTTTTCAGAATCCAAAATGGCTTAAGGTTGATGAAAGAGAGTTTTTTTTTCCCCAGAGACTCATTTAGAAGTCTTCGAAATCCACCTCTATCATATTATGTTCTAAAAAATTGGACCTATCCACGTGATTGATAGGAGCTATCTTAGTCCCTCATTTTGCTGCTAGAGTATTTGAAATCAAAATAACTTTTAAAAAACAAGAAAGCAAAAATATAATATCACTGAGGGAGATTTTGAAAAGAGCTTGTTAAATACCTTCTGTGTTCCTGGAATTTTGCCATGTTCACTGAACAGAGCGGATATAAAAGTTATTTTTGAAGTTTTTATGGCATTTTTAAAGTTAAATTTGATTACTTAAGACATCAAGAACTTAAATTTCAGGTTATACACAGCAAATACCTTCTTATTTTTTTATTATTTTGTTTAGAGGGAATAAGTGCAAAACTAAGGTTGTAAAGAAGCATTTCTGTCTTGAGTTTTTGTGTCATAGTCAGTTTTCATTAAACATCCAATTCCCTCATCTAAAAGATGATAAAAATCCTACATAGCTGAAGAAGTTTCCATTTATTTGACCCGGTTCTGTTTATTATAGTGGATTGTAAAACGGATGATTTCAATAGAGAATAATACTCAAGAGAAAAAAACACCAACAAAACAAAATCATTTACCTATAATTTAGATTTATTTTGATGATGTAGAATATCATATGACTACTCAGGTTCTGCTGAGAAACACAGAAAAATAATTTCATTATGTTGGTGAGGGAAGGAGATGAGTATGGATGGGAAAATAGCTGGTTCTGAAGTGAAGAGATGTGATCTAGAGATACAGAAAAATTAAAAACATTTACAGACACTCATAAAAAATATAAAATAAAAGTACAATGAGATGCTATATGATTCCATTTATGCGGCATTCTGGAAAGGGCAAATTCATAGGGACAGAGAACAGATCAGTGGCTATTGGGGGCTGGAGGTACAGAGAGGGATTAACTACAGTGGGGCCACAGGAGATTTTTGCAGTGAACTGTTCTGTTCGAAATTGTTGGGGTGTTTACACAGTCCATGCATTAGTCAAAACTTACAGAACTGTACACCACAAAAGAGTGAATTTTATTGCATGTAAATTTAACGAGTAAAATATCAAGGTAATTTTTTTAGAGTACACAGAGAAATCTAACTTACCATGTTAGCGAAAATTCAGTACATGCCGTCATCAATTCTATGGAGAAACAGACACACTCGTACATTTCTGGTGGGACTGCAAAGTGGTATAATATGTATTGAGGGTAATTTGACAATATCTAAAAAAAACCTACATATGCATTTATCCTTTGATCCAGTAATCCCACTTCTAAGAATTTGCTCCAATAATAAGAAAATAAATGGGCACAAAGTTATTCATTTCAGCATTATTTGTATTTGAGATATTCTCAAATCTACCTAAATGTTCAAATTTAAGAGACTGAGTCTAATGGCGCAAAAACACCATGGAGTATTTCAAAGCTTTTTTTTTAAAAAAAGAACAAGGAAGAGTTGTGTAAATTATATGAATTTTCAAGATTTATTGTTAAGTGAAAAAAAAGTACAAAGAAATATACATATTATGCTACATTTGTGTATAATACAAGAGGAAATATATACATATTTACCCATTTTTGCAAAAGGAAACAAAGAAACTAATGATATTGGTTGCCTATAGGAGGTGGAGGAAATGAAGTGGAACAGTTATGGGAGGGAATGACTCTTCTCTAAATTGCACCAGTTCGTATAGTTTTGACTTTTGAAATAATGTTAATATTTTTTAATTATCAAAATATAAAAGCCAATCATGTGATTTGTAAGATGAAAAAATTTCTGGAAATGAATGGTGGTGATGGTTGCACAACAATGTGAATGTACTTAATGCCACTGAACTAGATACTTTAAAATAGTTAAAATGGCAAATTTAATGTTATGTATATTTTACCACAATTTAAAAAGTAAATTTTAAATTTTACAAATCAAATCAGTACGACTGGGAAAATAACTTAAATTATATACAGACAGAAAAAGGGAGCCCAACTCTTTTTCAAATGAGAAACAACTACACTAAAATAAACAAAATAACCCTAATATGAATAACTTATTAACACACTACTTTAATTATATGCCATTACTCTAAAGAAAAAAATAACTATAACCAAATCTTGAACTCTACTAAGTAGGTTTATTTTTCATGGTCAAATGAGTATAGCAATTCTGATAATAGATTGTGTGTAATATGATATGTAAAAACATTGGTGTTGTTGAGAGTCAGGATTTTCACTGTGAAAGAAGGGAGTTAAAGAATATAAAATGTGGGAAAATAAAGAAGAATTTTGGGGAGTTGGACTAGAATTGGAGGTATTAGTATAAACTTGTCGTTCATAACATATCTTTCTAGCTCTATACGCTGAAAAGACTAGAAGCAATGACACTTCAATATAATTAAGCACGCCTAGTGTCAAATCTAGGTTGCTGAATGCCACCCCTAAAAGAAATTTGGGCTCCTTAGAAAAATGCCTGATTCCAGTGCTTGGGCAGGGAAAATACAAGATGGGCCTTCAACACCTTGTGTCAGAAAATAATAATGTGCTCAAAAAACAATGGAGACATGTCAAAAAAGACAGCTGGAAGGGAATCCTACTGACCACATTTAGCATTATTGTTCATTAAAATAAATCATGATAGTAATGGATTATAACCTATTGAATCCATGAATCCACACTGATAATGAACAAGTAAATAGGAGAGACGATAAAATTCCTCTTACAGTAGAACATCCACTATTAAATATAGGAAGAATGATAGAGTTAGAAAATCACCATTTTGCAATTTTCAAACTAATAATTGACTTAGCCAAAAATCATCAATGGATATAAAAACTAGTAGGTGAAAGCTTGATGAAGTTTAGGATATTTACATAGTTTTGACGTATTCTTCACATTACTTATTAATTACAAGGGGGAAAAAACCAGTAACTTTATAGTGTAGGCACTTGAAGGGCACTCCTTCGACCAAATGATTAAAGTTGGATTACCAATAATGGGACAATCTAATATTATATGCTTCCTGATAAGATGCCTTAAGAAGACATGTCTGTTAGTATTCCTGCCACAAGTGCATAAATTGAATATAATCGCGAGGAAACATCAAGCACACACAATTTGAGGGAATTTTCACAAAATAGTTGTCTTGTATTCTTCAAAAATATTACAGAATACAGACCTGTGGCATCAGTAGATCGATTACCAGTTCTGTCACTTAAAATTGCCCAATCTTGATCTTCTACCAGTCGTTTAAGGATTTTGCACCTCACTTCCTTCATATGTAAAATTTCGAGAAAATTTACATGAGTGAGAAAAAAATTAATGTCATGAAAGACAAAGAAAGGCTAAGGAACTATTCGATTTATTTATTTATTTTATTTATTTAATTTTTTTAAGGAACCATTCAATTTAAAAGGAGACTAAAGACACTTGTCAACTAATTTCAACCCAGGCACCTGGATTGAATTCTGGATAGAAACATTGGAACAACTGGTGAAACTGGAATATGAGCTGTATTGTATCTATATGAACATTTCTGAATTTGATAACTGTACTGTGGTTATGTAAGAGAATATCTTACTCTTACAAAATGAACCCTGAAGTATTAATAGGTAAAAGCACATGCTGCATGCAAGTTATTCTCAAATGGTTCAGAAAACAATGTGTGTACACACACACACACACACACACACACACACACACATACACAGAACACATGGGATAAAATATTACTCAGTGTTGGAACTTGTTAATGGGTATACAGGAATTCTCCCCCACCACCAGTTTTATTCTGAAAATATCCAAACATACAGAAAAAGTCAAAGAATTGTACCCTGAACACCCACCAAGATTTTACAATCAACAATTTGTTAAATTGCTTCATCACACATTTATCTACATATTACGAATTCTTTTTACTATTCTTGTAACTTTTCTCTAAATTTGAAATCATTTAAAAATTACAAGTTAAACGACTTAGTATGTAGTAACAGGAGACAAAAATAATTGAAGTGAAGGTAGTTTGAGGGGAACAGAAAGAACTGCTAGCGTGGAGGGAGATACAAGCTCAAGCCTCTGAAACACTCTATCTCCAAGCTGGTGCCATTGATGACTCAATCGAAGATCAAGGTCTCAGCTCTCCTCCATGGAGTCCTACACGGAGGGGTGTCTCTCAATCTTCAGTAAATACCATTATGCGTCATTTATAAAGCGTGAAACTACATTTCCCAAAAGGCCTTTATCTTTCCGCGTTGCAAAGGTTGCGATTTCTATAGGTTTTTTACAGATCTCGCGTGATTTCATTACATCTCATTAAAGTTCTCTGGCGGAAGCCATTTTGTTTTTCAGGGGTCTTTGCAAGGGTGTTTGACGCCAAGGTCCAAGCAGCAGCTGCAGTTGCCGCAGTTCTGTCTTCAGCTTCACGATGTTTCCCTTGGCCAAAAACGCCCTAAGTCGTCTCCGAGGTGAGCAAAAATTGTGAGCAAATAATTTTCAATCGCCTTTTATCCATTTGTCCTCGTGGTCGCTCGTGCCCTTTCCCTCCAGCCTCATCCCGACCTTGTAATTCTAAATGCTTAGTCTCTTTTCTCGCCCCAAGCTATTGAGAAGAAGTCCTTAGCATTAGCTTAATCACCCCGTGATTCTGCTGCGATTCACAGCTCTCTATTACCGACGTCATGTTCTATCCTTGCTTTTTCAGTAATCTAACGATTTCAGGGAAGTACACACTTGGTGGACACCTCTTGTTCCTTAGGTAATTTTGTTAATTTTAGCTTTGGGGATACATTTACCCCAAAAGAGAAAAGTCTTCTCTTCAATTCCTATAACCATAACGGAAGGAAACTATAAATATAGCTGTTCATCTGGTTTCATCGCAAGGAGACAACCTAAATGGTAGCCGTGCAGCTTTTATGTTGTTTGTGGGTTAGTAGCTGCCACGAAAGCAATTGCGGTTATTTTTATCTAAGAATTAGGCAGGTGCAGGGAAATTTTAAGAACAGCGTTATGTATTGAGAATGCATTGAGAGAGACAAGTTATTTTCATGCTCCATTTGCACGGAAGGTCACCTTGAATAAAGTGAGTTTTTTAAACAATGAAAGTGACTGTAAGCTATTATCCTTTAGCTTCTTTAGCCATATTATTTCCAGTTTACAGAGTAATTGGAGGTATTACTAGATCTGTTCTGAACACTCAAGCAGATTTGACAACCAAAAAGTAGTTGCCTGACTGTTTTTGTAATCCTAAAGCCCTAGCTCTTATCTCTTTCACATTGGGCAAATGATTTAACCTCTCTGAACCTCGTTTTCCTCCTTTGTACAAGGGGTTTAGTAAATAAAACCTACCTCATAGAATTCTTGCAGATTATATCAGATTACCAATAGGCGGTAACTAAACCATTTCTTGTCACAGAGGAGAGGTCTAAGGAAATCCACTTGGGTGACCTGAGCGTTGAAGTCAGGAGATGTTTTAGAATTGTTAAGTAATCTTAATTTCTTTGCCCTTTGAGCAGGTAGGGCCTTGTAACTCGGGAAAAGGTTTTTTTGTTTGTGTGTGTGTGTGTGTGTGTGTAATTTACAAACTCATTTTTTAACTGCTCTAGAGCAGAATATATTATGAAATGTTTGTAAATTTGCTCATCCTAAGTGTGACTAAAGGCAAAAAGAAAATTGTGAGGCGGTTGAGAAGAAACCATTAATGGGCAAATAACTATCCTGAAATAACTCATTGTATCTTATAGAAGCAAATATGTTCTTAAGTGCTAGTGAATGGGCAAGATTGCTGTTTCTTTAATATGCTTTCTGTTAGTACATAAGTACCTTTTGAGGCTTGAAACAATAAAGACCTGCTATGTAGATTGGAGGGGAATTATTAAAACAGCTGGAATGAACAAACAAAACGAACAGTGTCATAGTTACAGAGAACAAACTGATGGTTGCTAGTTAGGAGGGTTGGGGGCTGGGTGAAAAAGGTGAAAAGGATTCATAAGTATAAGTTGGCAGTTACAAAATAGTCATGGGGATGTAAAGTGTAAAGTACAGCATAGGGAATATAGTCAATAATATTTTAATAACTATGGTGTCAGGTGGGTACTAGACTAATGGGGAGAACATTTCATAAGTTATATAAATGTCTAACCATTATGATGTACACTTGAAACTAATATATTGAATGCCAACTGTACTTGAAAAATGGAAATTATTGGAAAGAAAAAACAGGTGGAAATTGCATTTTACAGTCTGGGCTCTTTCCCAAACCCTCCTGAGTGTCTCCAAAGGCAGTTTGAAAACTGTTTCTACTAAAACAATAGTAAAAGCAAAGTTCTAATGTTGTCATTCTGCTCGAAAACCTTTACCAAAAAAGTGGACTTCTGTGATCCTTTCTAGTTTTATCCCATTACTTGTATACATACCTCATCCTTCATCCAAATTAATTAGTTTTCTAGTACACTGGAATCTTCTGTCTCTACCATTTTTCAGGTTCCCCTTTCCCACGTCTACATAACCAAATCCTACCTGATATTCAAAATGCTTAACATTCTACTTCCTTGTATTACAGTGTTTTGAGTTTACATGTCTAATATCTTCCTCTAGACTGGAAGATACTTGAGGACAGGGTCTGTCTCTTAAATATTTTCATTTACCTCTTTTAGCATGGTGATTAGTAATTTTTTAAAAAATCAAGATTACTCTAGGTTTTGGAGGTTTTTTTTTGTTTTTTTGTTTTTTTGTTTTTTTTAATTTTAAGGTTTATGACCTTAAAGTTCATTTTGAGTTTATTCACCCTTTTATGTTGTAAGTTGTTGAGCACTGCTAAATAAACTTTAGTGAAAATATATGTCATAAATACTCAAATTAATGAATAGGAGGTTATACAAATACGGTTTGTGGTGAATGTTATATCATCTGTTCTTTGCTACTCACCCCCTGCAAGATTTATTATGAAAACTTTCAGACATACATAAAAGTTGGAATAACTGTATGGTGAACATCCATATACCCTCCACATAGATTCTACAATTAACATTTTGCTATATATTTTTTCACATGTCTATCCATATGTCAATTCATCTAATTTTTGATGATTTTCAAAGTACGTTACTTTTAGCTATAATATGTTTTTTTAACATTTTATTGAACTACATAGTACTGTAAAGTTAACTTCTTTGGCTTTCTTGATTAGCAATATCAATCATATATGTTCTCTTTTCCTGATAATTCATAGATACGCTTCTGTATGTATTTTTTTTTCTTTAAGTTCAAAGCATTCAGCAAACAATGGCAAGGCAGATCCATCAGAAACGGACACCTGATTTCCATGACAAATATGGCAATGCTGTATTAGCTAGTGGAGCCACTTTCTGTGTTGCTACATGGACATATGTAAGTATTATTGATTGATAATTTCTGGTTTAGATGTTTTTCATTCCCATGAATTTCATGTATTAAAAATGTTTTCACACAGTACTATACATTTCTAGTTAGGAGGGACTTTAGAGATTTTCTAATGTAATCACCCACCCAGTGCAGGAAATTTTTTCAACATTTAGTATTGATCCATCATCTGTTCTTAACATTTACAATAATAGGTTGCATACTGGATCGCAAAGCAGCCCTTTCCATGTTGTATAACTGTTTAAGGATCCTACATTGAGTTAAAAATCTGCCTCCATATTCTACCCATAATTCCATTTCAACACAGAAATTCTGATCTCCTTTCCATGTATCAACCATTAGATGTTAGAAAATTACTATCATGTGTCTTGGATCTTCTCTTTTATATTAAACATCCTTAGTTCTGTCAGTCATTTTTTGTTATATGGTTTCCAGGGTTTTCACCTTCTGGGTCACCTTCCTTCACTTAATTAGTTTTTCTTCTAAATTCCGCCATCAAAACTGAGTATATTTCTGAAGGATGAGATATAAAGTGACTTGCTTTCAGTATTTTAGGGGTTTGTTTTTTTTTTTTTTTTTTTTACATCTTACATTTGACAATCTACTTGTCACTACTTGCTGGTTAAAAGTAGGAGTCTTGAAGTTATACTAAATATATAAATTGACTTTAAAAGATATCAATCAACATGCCTTAATAAACAAAGACTATTAATAGGCCTTTTTCATTTTTATTTTGATCTTTCTGAAATCAGATATACTATTAAAATAAGCATGTATACTTAGAGTAAATAGATGTCGAACAAATGTATAATTGGGGCAGTTTTGGAGATGAAGTTCTTCATAAAGGCATATTACAGAAGTGCTCTTTGGCAATATTTAGGTAGTTGTGGTTGAGTAAAGCAACATTTTGAGGAGGTAGTATTAAAATGTGATATAAACTTGTGTTAAAGAAAATAAGATATTCGGTTCAGTTGTTCAATAACCATATGTGGCTAGTGGCTACTGTTTTGGCCAATGCTGATAGAGAATATTTCCTTTATCTCAGGAAGTTTTATTGAACAGCATCGCGTTAGGGAATTAGGATAGCAATTATGTTTGCCGATAGGGAGTACACTATATCCCACTCGAGTTTCTCTGTTTTTTTTAACCTATAGAGTAGAATACCTTTGTCACTCTTAAGAAATAGTCTCCATGGGAGATTGGACTCCAATTTAAACATATAACTGACTGCATTTTAATTCTTACAGACAGCAACACAAATTGGAATAGAATGGAACCTGTCCCCTGTTGGGAGAGTCACCCCAAAGGAATGGAGAGATCAGTAATCATCCCAGCTGGTGTCATACTGAATTGTTTCAAAACCAACTCATAATTGATGCCAAGTGAAAGTGCTGTGTACCCATTAAAATATGGCATAATTAAAGAAATAAAGTATATTTGAAACCTTCATTGTAGGTTTCTTTTGTGAATGAAATCAAGCTTGATTACTTTTCATTTATTTAACCTTTGCGTTAATATTAAAATCCAAACACTATACAACTTCTTAGATAGCTTTTCTATATGAAGTAATGTGAAAGGAAAATCTGGCAACATTTGGTGAAATTTGGCAACATTCACCTGGAAGTCAACTTTACAGTAAGGCTGAAATTATAGTTCGTAAATAAATGATTACAGAGTTATTTTAGGTTATCACTGAGCTAAAATCTAGATCTTGGTTATGCCTACAACTTTCTATCTCCCTTTTATGTTTGTATTTGGAATTGGCATTATTTTTGCTCCTACCAAGAGAACTTAGAGTGTCACCAGACCCAAGGGAAGAATGGTCCTATCAAATGTACTCCTAGGATGTCTGAAGACTAGATAGTTCCTTGGTTGCCTTGGCACATTTAATTCGACCTTTAGATTTTTCAGCATTTTTAACAGTAAGCCATATTGTGTGTTCCTCTCTCATAGTTAGATTTTTTTCTGTCACCACATATTTTTGACCCCTTTTACCCCATTCTACCTCCCTTTTCAGCATTTTTGAGAGATTTATGATGTAAAAGAAAAGATCTGTTAAATATGGTTTTTCACTTTTCTAACAGAGGCCTCTGCTTTTGGCTTTCTGTAATTATATTAACTTTTGGATTTGTGGATTATCCTGAATTCAGTATGACATTGGATTTTATATGTAAAATACTAACTGAAGAAAACATGCTTTTTTACTCCCTTGGCCAAAGGCTATAAAGTAAGCCTCATGTAGTAGTTTATTGATAGAGTTCAAGGAAGCAGAAAGTGGAATTTCAGTTGAGTAACCTATAGTAGTTAAATTAGAGATTTCTAAAATTCACTTATCTGGTACTATTAACAGATAAGTGGCTTTTAGGAATCCCCAAATTTACCTGATGTAGATAAAGATTTATATTTAACATTTGAAAAATTTATACTTATTACATGAATTACAGGCATACCTTGGTATTGTGAGTTCAGTTCCAGACCATGACAATAAAGTGAATATCACAAAGCGAGTCACATGAATTTTTTGGCTTCCCAGTGCATATGAAAGTTATGTTTATGCTATACTGTAGTCTATTAAGTGTGCAATATCATGTCTAAAAAACAAAGTACATACCTTTAAACGTATTGGTAAAAATTGCTAACTAAACCTTTAGGAAGTCAATCTTTGCTGGTGGAGGGTCTTATCTTGACATTGATAGCTGCTAACTGATCAGGGTGGTAAGTTGCTGAAGGTTGGGGTGTTTATGGCAGTTTAAGACAATAAAATTTGCCACATCAGTCATTCCTTTCATGAATAATTTCTTGGGAGCACGTGATGCTGTTTGATAGCACTTTACCTACAATAGAATTTTCAAAATTTGGGGTCAATCCTCTCAAACCCTGCCACTGGTTTATTAACTAAAGTTATATAATATTTTAAATCCTTTGTTGTCATTTTAACAATATAACATCTTCACCAGGAGGAGATTCTCAAGAAACCCTTTTGCTCATCCATAAGTAATTTCTCATCCATTAAAGTTTTATCATGAGATTAAAGAAATTTAGTCATAACTTCAGGCTCCATTTTAATTCTAGTTCTCTAGAATTATATTTAGAGATTCCTAAAAGCAGTTACTTTCTCCACTGAAGTCTTGAATCCCCTCAAAATCATCCATAAGGGTTGGAATAAACTTCCAGACACCTGTTAATGGTATTTTGACCTCTTCCCATGAATTGTGAATGTTTTTAATGGCATCTGGAATGGTGAATCCTTTCCAGAAAGTTTCAACTGACTTTGCTCAGATCCATCAGAGGACTCACTGTGGCAGTTATAGCCTTACAAAATGCATTTCTTAAAAAAACTTGAAAGTTGAAATTACCCCTTGACCCATGGGCTACAGAATCAATGTTGTATTGGCAGACTTGAAAATAATATAAACCTTGTACATCTTCATCAGATGACTAGGTACATTATTAATACTAATTTTTAACAGCCATATTGTGGCTAGGTACATTATTAATAAGCAGTAATATTTTGAAAGGAAGTTGTTTTTCTGAGCAACAACAGTGGGCTTAAAATATTCAGTAAGCCATATTGTAAACAGATGTCCTGTCATCTAAGCTTGTTTTGTTTATAGAACACAGGCAGGGTAGATTTAACTTAATTCTTGAGGACCCTATGATTTTCTGAATGATAACGGCATTGGCTTCAACTTAAAGCCACCAGCTGCATTAGCCCCTGAAAAGAGCCTGATCTTTAAAGCCAAGCACTGACTTTTCTTTAGCTATTAAAGTCCTAGATGGCATCTTCCAATATAAGGCTGTTTCGTCTACATTGAAAATGTTAAGTGTAGCCACCTTCATTAATTATTTTAGCTAGATCTTCTAGATAACTTGCTATAGATTTGACATTAGCACTTGCTGCTTCACCCTGTACTTTTATGTTATGGAGACAGCTTTCCTTAAATGTGAACCAACCTCTGCTAGTTCCAAATTTTCTTCAGCTTCCTCATCTCAGCATTCAAAGAGTTGAGAGGGCCTTGGTTTGGGTTTAGCTTCAGCTTAAGAAAATGTGGCTGGTTTAATCTATCCAGACAACTATAACTGTGTAGTGTCCATATAAGCAATAAGGCTGTTTTGCTTTCTTATTATTAGTGTGTTCATTGGAGTGGCACTTTTAATTTCCCTCAAGAACTTTTCCTTTGTACTTACAACTAGGCTGTTTGGCACAAAAGGCCTAGCTTTCAGCCTGTCTCAGCTTTCAATGTGTCTTCCTCATTTCTAGCTTTTGATTTAAAGTGAGAGAGATGTGACTCTTCCTTTCACTTGAACACTCAGAGGCCATTGTAGGGTTATTAGTTGGCCTAGTTTCAATGTCGTTGTCTCTCAGGGAATAGGGAGCCCTTGAAGAGAGGGAGATGTGAATGGCTGGTGAATTGAGCAGTCAGAGCACACATAACCTTTACTGATTAAGTTCGCCATCTTATATGGGAATGGTTCAGGACACCCCAAGATAAATTATAATAGTAACATCAAAGATCACTGATCACAGATCACCATACTCAAATACTTATAACCTTGAGACATGATTAAGCAAAATGAACATGTCTTTAAGGAAGTTTCAACCTTCCATTAGATTATTACCTTTTTGTTGCTGAATTGGCACTAATGGAAGTTTCAACCTTCCATTAGATTATTACCTTTTTGTTGCTGAATTGGCACTAATACCACTTTGTAAGAATTTTTAACAACTGGAGGTCATTTTCAGTGATTTGTACCACTTCTGTCAGGTAAGGGATCGTTAGCTC